TGTAATACTGCTGCCAGTGGGACTATTCATAGTTTCATAGTTTCTAGGGTTGGAAGGGACCTGAGTAGATCATCTAGTCGACCCCCTGCCATGGCAGGAAAGAGTACTGGGGTCAAACGACCCCAGCAAGTATTCATCTGAGCTGGAAATACTTATGAGAGGTGGGTGGTAGGTCTGGTCCCTGGGTCCCCTTCATTGTGAATCTGAAAGCTGAGAAGCAATCAAGAATGCACAAAATTACACTAAAACTAACTAAATTATGTAATAAATCCAAATATTTATACTCTTTAAAAGATGTACATATTTGCATTAAGTTGTAGGGTTGTGACTGCTAATGCTAGAAGAAGAAACCAGACCACTCAGGGTAAATCTAGAGTTTTAGGTCATTGGGAAAGATTTATAGACAAATCTATCCCTAATTTTTACCCAGGGTAAATTAGGCCACAAATCTCCTCATAAGCACATGCCATCATGAAGTATTCCATTTGTGGGTGTGCAGGGTGTGACTAATTAGAAGTGGGAAAGCAGAAAGAAATCCAACCATCTGTTATAACTCTCCTGGGTATGCTCTTCATAGAAACTAACCAAAGCACTTATTAGCTATCTGGCAGTACACCCTTGGAAAGATATGTTAGTACTATGTAGCCTTACTTTTAGCTTGTCTTTTCATGCCATTCTGAAAGGAGTTTTAAAATTGCACTTAGCACTTTTAATTTTTTTTACACAAAAGTCACTTATAAATAGGAACTAGTTTCAATGTATTTTAGCCATTAGGTATCATACTGTTTAAAGGCTGTTGATACAGAACATCTGGGATAGATTCAAAGCCTTGGATGGTGCCAATGCTGTTGAAAAATCCCACTCTTTACAAAGCTGCCATATGTAAATTGAGTGACCAGGTAGGAGACAGCTCAGTTTCAAGCAAGTAACACAACGGGAATTGCACAGCCCATGCCATTCAACAAACACAGCAGATGTCAGGTCTAGTGATAATCCACAGCATGGTCAGAGGATCCTTAGAGGTTACACAGTCCACCCTGGGTGCAATCTTGTCATAGTGTCCATCTGCACCTCCAGTTAACAAAACCTTCATAAAGGCAGTTCTAAAACACTTGGACTATCTTCCCCTATGCTAGTATCTGCTACACTACAATAATTAAAATATTAAATCATTGTTTGGCAGGAACGCACACTGTTTATGTTTGATGCTTATACTGCACATAAGATCCCTCTCAAGAATGTCTTGCAATAAAAAGGAGTACTTTGGGTAGTCCACTCAAGTTCAGCTCTAGTGCTGAAATCCTCTGCCTTGTCATCATTTTGTCCACTTTTATTATTGCAACACACCTCTGGTTCCAGCTCCCCAGAATCAGTTCCCCAGGCATGGATGTATCAAAAAAGTATCAATTCTGACAAAGTTTATGGACCATGACAAAGAAAGAAAATGTTTCAGCATTTTCTAACCAGTTCTAGTGTATGTTGCTACTAGCTGCTTCCTCATACCTCCACTCTCAACCAACTTTCATTAAGTGCAAGTTCCAATAAAAAAGGTGTCCACTTGTTTTTAAACCTACCCAGCTTACATTGCAGCTGTGGTCTTGTACAGCTTTAAAACAATTGTTATCACTGTAGAAATAAAACATATAAGTCATAGTAATAGTGGTAGTAGTAGGAAATAAATATTTCAAAGGCCTCACATTTCTCTGTGCCATCCTGTTCCAGCCAGCCTTCTTATACAATCTCAACAACTGATTGTTTGAAAAATCCTTCTGTGCAGGTACTCTTGATTCAGATTCTCTCCAGAGAATGAAGCTCCATACTGAAATGGAGATACTGTGCTCTTCTACATTGTCCACAGAAAGACAATCAGTATAACTGACAGTAAGTGAGAAGGTAGGGTAGAGATGCACCTTATAGACTAATTGAATCAGAGATGCATAAGCTTTTGTGAGCCACAGCTCATTTCATCAGCTATTTTAGTTAGCACTGGCCCTTTAAGCCCTGAACTGTGGAATACCAAAAGAGTTTAAAATCTAGAGTTCTTACTTCCTTTGGCCTGTACCCTTATAAATGACTCCAACTTAACATTACCTTACTAGCAACACATATGATTCCTTTTCTTTTACTGCCTAGCCCAATTTAATCAAAAACTGGGTCTTCCAACGTGCTCAGCAGCACCCAGGAATTCCTATTGTTACGTTTTCAGTCAGACTTTCACAGTGTGCTAAGTTCTCAGAAACCTAGATCTATATGCAGGAAGGGTTGAACTAACCTCCAAATGGATTAGAGGGAGAGCAGAGAAAATGTTATGAAATCTCAGACTTGGCAATGTCATCCTTGCTGTCAATAAAGGCACCAGAATGACTGCTTAAGAATCCATTCAATACTATTTCAACCAAGGAAGAAAACAGGTCATCTGTACATTTAGAACATGTGCATGCCACTTCTCTGGTGCTCCCAAGATTACCGCTGAGAACCAGGCACTGCCTCTCCCCCCTCACTGTGCACATGCCCCACCCAGAACTGAAGTAGTGAAACTGCTCTGAGGATGCCTCTAGAGCTGCTTTCAAGCACAATCTCAAGCACAAGCAAGAATAGAAACAGAGGTGCATCTGATACCTCCTTACAGCCTTTTCTGAGTCTAGTGCATGCATAGGAGGAGCACATAGGCAGGGTTTGCATCTGTGCGGCACTTCCAGGAATGCCGTGCAAGCGGTCCAGATTCCCCATTATAGTGCAGCGCTTCGGGAATGTAGTGACTACAAATACCCATGCGCAGTGTGCACGGAGCAGGACGGGGTGTTACTGCACTGTCTTTTAGTACTTCCAAAAGAAAGTACTAAATGACAGCGCAGTAACAACATCACCATAACCGCATGTGTAGATGCACCCAGTGTGTCTGTTATTCTCTCTCCATCTTGTCTAATCAGTAGGCCTGTGTGAAGTGGCTAGTATTCACTTCGGAGTCGGATGCGGCCGATTCGAGGGACAGTGATTCAGTTCAGTGATTCAAATCACTGTCCTGTTTCATTCAGCCAGATCTGATTTGGAGATTCGGCAGCAGCCGAATGTCTGAATCTTCAAATCAGCCAGGCCAGGCCCATCCCCCACCCCTCTCCCAGCC